AGTTTTTTACATGGAAGGGCACATGCGTCTTTTTATAGCTTAGGGTAAATGCGATCAGACACATTAATGGCATATTGGAATTTACTTTCGCGAATTTATGTTCTTTGAAAATTCTCTCTATTAACGGCGAGATGAGGGATTTATTGAGTTGATTTCGCCCCCGTTATTTTTTTCTCTACCTTATAGATCTTCGTCGAGCTGTTAAGGACAACGCTGTGGATCTTGTAGTCGTACAAACTGATTCAAAGAAAAAAAAAATGGTGAACTCTCCTCAATCGAGGAAAAACGGTAAGATTATCGTCAGTGTTACCGATTTTTGAGTTTTTAGAAGCGATGTTTTTTGTTCTATTGCTGATGGTAAACTATAAAAAAAAAAGAAATCTAGAAAAGAATACAAATTTAGAGTTCGCGATCTTCGTGTTTTTTGTAGAATCAATGTTGAAATGGTGCTAGTTTTTTTAATTAATTATTGTATAATTGTTGCAAAATTGTATTTAATGTTGGTCTATTGCGAATTTGGGTAATTATAGATAATATGTTAGAATTCAATTGATGTGGTGTTTTGATGAGTGTATCGCTCTTGATTATTCAAACCCATTTTGCTTGTTGTAATTTTGCCTTTGCAGATGAACGTGTTGTCGACGATGGCTCGACAGACCAACCGCGTGGTGGTTGGAAAGGTACATGCAGTCACAGTATCCTTTTTCGATTTTTATTCTGTTTTTATTATCGTGTTCTTGATTTTTCGTGTATTTTGTCCAGTTACACGTAGAAGTTCGGGGTTGAATGAATCTCAGCCGAGTCATTCATCACAAAGCGTCAAACATGCGCATGAAGGTATACATCTGTAGATTAGTCATATTTAAAGGAGTGGCTTACGCAATGTTCGGTTAATCCATTTACTGTTGTTATCTTGCAGCTAACAAACAGATGGGAGATGAGCCAACACGCGCTGAAGATCTTGTAAACCGTGGAAAAACAGTTGTGAGCGCGGGCAGCGATGATAGTTGATGATACATCGGAATTGAAGCGTGATAAAATTATGGCGGCACAGGGTGGTACGTTCAATCATGTTTATTATCATATGGTTCCTGCTATTTTTACATATGTCATTTTCATTTCATTACGTGTTATCTTTGCAGCAATCAAACGGAAGGTCTATGAACTAAAACGAGCTGACGAATGCAGTAAACGTGCAAATCTAAGTAGTCTGCCTGAAAACGATGATTTCGTTGATGTTGCACCTCAGCTGAAACGATGTAAGAATACGATGACCCAAAATGGTATACTCACTTACATCATTCGTGTTTTGAGTGCGTTATTATCAGATATTATTATAGTGATGCTATGTTTATATCAAAACAGCTGCAACACTTGCGTTGGAAGCTACTGGTGTAGCACCGATTATCGGTAGTGATGATGGTGATGCCCTTCCAAGCATCAACACAAGATCATCACCAGCCATTTTCGTGAAGGTTGTGTCTGGTCTGACCGATGATCAGAAGCAGGCAGTCCGTGACATGGGATTCGGTCGTTTGTTGGAGTTGACGATAACGATGACACCGGCAAAAATGGGGCACTGGTTGGTTGAGAACTTCAATCACATGGATCGGAAGTTGAAACTCTACGGTGGGGAAAAGATTCACGTGAAAGAAGACGATGTATACGTTGTACTTGGACTGCCCCGTGGAACGATTGAGATCACGAATAAAAAGAAAAAAACCGAGTCAGAGTTGTTGAAAGAATGGGTGAGGTTATATAATGTCAGTAAGCCGGCAAACATTACAGCCATGAGAGTCTTAGACATGATTCAGAATTGTGATAGAAGTGACGATTGGTTCAAACGCAATTTTGTTGTTCTCATGGTGACTTGCCTATTCGAGAGCACTAGCAACGGGATGGCAAATTTACGTATAATCCATCTTCTCAGTGATCTATCGAATGTGATGAATATGAACTGGTGCTCCTACATGATTCGTTGTCTGGTGTGCACGAAAAAATCTTGGAATGATAATCGGGGACGTAAGAACTTCACAGGGCCGCTTCTATTTCTGACGGTTAGTGCATCAGAACCATCTTCGTGTCTTCTTTATGCAATAGTTTTTGAGGTGTTTTTGTGCTATGTGTTCCCCACGTTGCATTATTAAGGGAATGTACCCTTATAATTGTGTTTAATATATTATATGTGTTCTGTATTTACAGAAAGTATTTTACATCTCATTTCGTGTTTGGTCTTCTTTTTTTTTTACTTTTATTTATTTTTATTTATTTATTTTTACTGTGTGTTATGTAGTTGTTCTATGTCGACAAAGTGGTTTTGTCAATCAGGAGCGTTGCAAGACTATTCCCGATTTTTAAAGCATGGAACAAT